TCCCGGGCGAGCCCGGGCCTAGGCCGGGGCGGAGCGGCTGGAAAGGACGCCCCCCCCCGGGCCACCGCCTACGTTAGGGCCGAGGCCGACCCGGAAGCGGTGGGCCCAGCTTTGGTTTCTCCTCCGCGCAAGCGCGGCCATGGCCGCGGAGGAGCCGGCGGGCAGGGCCCTGTCGGTGCCGCGGCTGGTAGCGGCGGCTCGGGAGGAGCTGGGGACCGGGCGGCGGCGGTGGCCGGCGGCCCGCGCCCTGCAGCTAGCCGGGGAGGTGCTGGCGGTAGCGGCGGGGCTGAAGCCGGCCTTGCTGTACGACTGCGGCGCGGCGGGCCCCGCCGAGCTGCGGCGGTACCTGGCCCGGTTAAGGGAGGCCGGGCTGGCCCCCCGCCGCCTCCATTTGCTGGGCGCCCAGGGTTCGGTTCTGCTGCTGCAGCCGGGGCTCGCCCGGCGGAGGCTGGCGGCCGTGCTGCGCGCCCGCCCGGCTCCCTTCGTGGACGTCTCGGCGGGGCGGCGCGGGCCGGCCATCTGCGGGCCAGCGGAGGCCGAGGCGGTCAGGGGCCACCTCGCCGCCCTCCTCGCCCACCTAGGGGCTGCCGAGGCCGCCAGCTCCGGCCCCGTGTCCTCCAGCGAGGTCGTCCCAGCGGGCTGGAACCTCTGCACCGTCGTCGGGGTGCTGCTGGGCTACCCGGTGGCGTACGCCTTCGCCGCGGAGAAAGGTGCCGAGAACTGCCTGGCGCTGACGCCGCTGAGGGTGTTCACGGTCCAGGCCTCCTGCCCCAGGATAAAGGACGGTCTCAGGGTCCAGATCTACTCCTTCAGCATCCCGGAGAGCCTCTGCATGGAGCTGGAGGAGGTGCTGGGTGCCTGGTGCGAGGAGCTGAAGAAGGCCTTCAGCATGCAGAGTGACTTTGTAGATCTCTGCATTTCGAGCGAGGTCGTGTCTCTTCCAGCAGTTGCCTTGTAAAGCACAAAGTCAGACTTTCTGGCTTGTTTCTCACTTGCGTCAGGGACTGAGGCGAGAGATCTGGTTCCCGTATGTGCAGCCCACTGAGGCTCTCTCAAGAGGCCCCTGAGCACCAAAGGCTGAATTTTGACAATCTCAGGGCCCGGACCTTGTGGGCCGGTTGCAAATCAAGCAGGTGTACTTCCCAGAAGACCAGTGTGTGGATGTACACGCTCACAGCTGCTCTGCAGCCTCCATCCGGACTGTGGAGTGTGCCCTGTCAAGTCAGGGTATATTTATTTGCTGCAAACAGCTGAGGACTAATAAAAAGGTTGGCCAGCACAGTTTTTTGAATTTGTGAAGTTTGTTGTAGGTTCCATATCCTATTTACTACTCCTGCGAGGTGGTGACATGCACTGCCTCGTAGCTGAGCCTGTGCTTGAACAAGGGGCAAGTGCTACCATAAAACCTGCACAGTGCAGCTCCAAAAGGGGCTTAAAACCCCTGTCCCTTGTCGAATTAATGTGGCGCTGGCAGTGGAGGGGAAGCAGCCATGGCTGTGGGGACGCTTGGCCACGAGACAGGTTAGAAGAGCGGTGGGTTGAACTGAGCCTGGAGGGTGGGAGGTGGGAAAATTGCTCAGGACAGGCAGTGCACGGGGCAAGTGCGGGGGAACTGTGTTAAAAAGCCTCCCTGAGCTGGGTGTCTTTGTCAGGTATCAGCAGAGATGGTCCAGGGTCGAATACCTCCCATTCAGGGAGGCAATAAAAAAAGGAAGAGAATTTTGTAGTCTTCTCAGCCGCCGGGCACGGAAACCAGGGAGGCTGGATCCCAAGGGCACGGGATGCCCCGTCCCTGCTGCTCTGTCCCTCCCAACCCCCCTGAGCCCCGGCAGTGGCGGTTGGAGTGGCTTTGTCCCTGCCGCAGGAACTGGGCAGCACAGCCTTCAGCTGAGGCAGAGTAACCGAAGCAGCCAAGGGAAGGAGCGATCTCCCAGCATTTATTGGAGCCACAGGAGTTTGTCTGGAGTGAGACCAGCTCAGGAAGTGAACCAAACAGGAAAGTACAAAACAGCAAACAGTGCACTGTGTCGAGGGTGCGTTGCTGTTGGTGAAGCAGAAGTCAGTTCCTGCAGTGAAGTCAGTCATTGAGAAGATCCTTCATGGTCTGTAACTTGTGAGGAAGATGGCTATGGCCATTGCTATCACTGCCACCAGGAGAGGGATCCAGGGACTGCGCTGTCTCTGCAAGGAGAAGCAAGCGTTACTAGGAAATTGGTGGGGAGAAGATCCTTCTCATCTCATCCCTAGCAAACCTGTCATTCATCTTTCTGCACTGCAGAAATAAACAGGGGAATTTTTCGCAGTCCGAAAGCACTGGGAGTCGGGGTGAGGAACGCCGCCCACCTTTGCCTGCTTGCTCTGGAAGTGGTTGAGCTCGTCCCGGCACTGGCGCAGCCTGGTCAGGCAGGAGCGGTACTCCTCGCTCAGGGCCTCCAGCTCGGAGCGCAGCTCCGTGCACTGCAAGCACAGCAAGGGGCCGTTAGCAGGAGGGATCCCCCCACTTTTGTACACACCGAGACTGGCAGGGTTCCCGCAGCGGCTGCAGCGCTTCGCCCCTGCATGGGCACTGCAGTGAGGGGGGATTTCCACTTCTGCTACCTATAGGGGACAGAGCAGATCTCAGTGTTACTGGGAATACGGTGATAGAGGCAATGCCGGATCTGTTACCATCCCGTGACGTGCTTGGCTTCGCTGCCATCTCTCAAATCGCATGGGAGAAAGAAGCAATAGTTACTTTTATGACCATAGAAGCGTGCAGGTCAGAAAGATGTGTAGTGCAAACTCGTGGCAGGGTTTGCCTCTCATTCTGAAATTCATTCTGCATTTCACTGACTGCGAGAGCAATTGCAGAGACCTTTAAACCCTCTGAGACATGGGATGGGTACCTTGGTTGTGCTGCACAACCCCAAAACCCAGGGAGCGCCTTTTTTCCTGAATGGCCACGCAGCAGCATGAGACCCTGCTGCCTTCCCACTGAGCGGTACATTAGCAGCAGCTGTGGAAGGAGGCTGCCTGTGCCCAGAGGCTGCAAGAGCCACCGCTGGGGGGGCAGCTGGGTCCCCGAGCTGTTCCCTTTTGCTGTGATTGTGCTTTACAAAACCCTTGCCCAGGTGATGCTGGGTGATGTGTGATGCTGGTGGTGCACTCACCAGCGGGGGTTAGTAGGACAAGCTGTTCTCCTGTGTGGCTCTAAGCTCTGCTATGGTAAATTACAAATCCTTTTTTTATAAATCTTTGCTACCTGAGTACTGTTGTAAGAACTCTGGGGCTGTTGGTTGGCAGAGGGCACAGCTTGAAAGGAAAGAGCCTGTGAGAGGCCAGAAAGCTTTGAAATTGTTTGCAGCCCAGTTGTACGGGCATTGCTTTTGTTAGCAGACGCTTCCTGTTATTTGCAAGCCTCTTCTTTTCCTCCTCTCCTTCCTTTTTGCTCAGGGTTTCAGCTCTTAAAGTGTAGCTTTGGCTTTGGCTTTTCCCTGTGAGACTGTTGAGGCTCTCCTGTCTGTGAGAGCAGAAATGTGTTTGTTTGGAGAGGGCTCTGCTGCTATAGCCCTGGGTGCCAGGCTGCTGGTGCCCTGCCCTTGCAAGCAGATGCTGCATTGGGTGTTTAGGTGAGGCTGGTATCAGTATAAAAATTCAACAGACATAATCGTTACAGGAGATACCAAGCTTAGATTACTTCCAGGAACTTTGGTGCATTGTGTTGTGCTACCGCTGGAGCACTTACACCAGCAGCTCGCTCCCCAGCAGGGAACTCCATCCCAGCCACGATTCAGTGACTTCCTCACCTCATTCTCCTTTGCTGTAAGCTGGGATGTCCTTTTCTGCATCTCATCCTTCAGACTTTCTTCTCCCTCCTCCTCCTCCTCAGGGTGCTCTAACAGAGTATTTTGTTTTTCCTTGGCAGGAGTGAGAGGTGGGGTCTGCGTGGTGAAAACCTGGTCTAGAAAACAGTCAGGCTTCTGATGAGAAACAGGTCCAGGCTTTCAGTTTGCTTTAGATCTTGTTTACTCAGCACAGTTTAAAGATAATATTTGTGTGCTATGCACACAGCAGAGGACACAGGAGCCGAGTTAGTTATCACAGGCTTGCCTCTGCCATAGGTACAAATTAATCATCTTTAGATGAATATTTCTAAGTAGTTGCCAGAAATGGAGAGGAGGGAGAGTTAAAATGCCTTTTATTGCTTTTTTTCAAGTATAGCTGTAACTACAATTATAAACTGGAATGTATTTTGTTTGGAAAAAAAATGGCATAACCACTGAAGTAGAATTTGCAATTAAATTAATTTATTTTTTTTAAAGTGTTTGCCATCATAAATACACTTATGTTTTAATGTTAACTAGCTAAATATAATAACTCGCTTTGTGCAGCTTTAAAATAATCCTTTATTCTAAAGCAGTGTAGACTTCTCCCAGAGGCAGGTCTAAAGTTCCTGTGTCCAGTGAGAGGAGTGCTAGGTGGGAGTTACAAAGTTTGCTGACCTTTCCTTTGCACCGTCACCTCCTGGGTCTTCTGTTCGTTGGTCTGCTTCTGTATCAAGTCTGTGAGCATAAAAAGCCACTGGTATTGTCCACAGCGCTAACGCAGGTCTCTTTCTTAGCACATCTTTGTGTTACTTACTGTGCAAATGGCTGATTGTTGTCTCCAGCACTACCTTCTGATTTTGTTCTTTTTGCAATTTATCTGAAATCATGATAGAAGAAAATCACAGTTGATGTAAATCTCTGTCTATCTTTATGTAAGGATGGCAACTTTCCCTTTCTCCACATGTGTAAAGTGGCATGGATATTGTTGGCTACGCTGAACTTTCTCCTCTGAAGGGATGTGATTTTTAGCTGTTAATTGCCTTTTCAGTTTTGGCAGCTTTTTCTAGTGTGCCTTAGATTCTATTAATTTATGGTTTATTTTGAAGCTGTTCGTGTGAGACCTGTTATGAAAATAGTACTGCCACTCATTTACTCTTCCTTAATTGTGTTTTAAAACAGCCACATGAAGTATGTGTGAGTTTCCTTGCCTCTGAATTGGTGCTTTAGGATGCTATTAGCACATATTTATACGCTGATAATATCCACCACCAGGCAGCAGCACCTCAGACAGTGAGGGGTGCTGCCTCTCCACCGAGTGGGCTGGCATTGCTGTGTTTGATGGGTCTGATAAGGATGCAAAAGTCCTCATCAAAGCTGAGGACTCATCCTTGATTTTTTTTTTCCAGGTCTCCCATTCCATCCTTTCTTCTAGAAAAGCCACTTGACTTCTCTGAAGCCCTTTAATCTAGTTGGAAATTACTTTAGGGGCCCTTTGGAAACCAGAAATTTCTCTGCAAGCTGAGGCATGCAGCACATTCGGAGAGAGCGCGCCTTTAGCGTGCGTGTGTGTACTTGGCTTTACGGACCAGGATTTTAAGAGTATTTTCCTTGTACCCTCCGTTCCCCTGCACGCCGTACCTTCGATGGCGCTGATGTGTTCTGCCTTCAGGTCGTTGTCCTCCCGCAAGGCGCTGGCTCGCTGCTGGAGCGCGGCGTGCTCGCTCTGCAGGCTGCGCAGGACCTGGCAGAGCTGCGTGTTCTGCGTGTCCGCTTGCTGGGGGCGAGAAGAACCCCGGCATCAGCCCAGCCCCGGCACCGTGCCGTGGGCGGCTGGCGAGCACGCGGCGTTGCCGGCTTTCTGGCAACGAAAGGCAGCCCCGAGCCGAGGACCGGGTTGCACATGTGGCTGCTGTGCTTCATCAAAAGGGCTTTTTTTTTTATACAGGGATCTCAACCTGGGGGCTTCCCTGCTTGCAAATCGGAAAAGGTGAACTCCCGTGGGTGCTGTTCCTGCGGGGAACTAACGTACCTGCAGTTCGCTTTGCAAAATGTGGAAGCTGTTTTTGAGCTCGGCGTGAGCTGTGGTCATCTTGGTCAATTCGGCTTTGAGCGTGGTGTAGTGCTCTTTCCAGAAGGCAGCGTCCTCTCTCGTTGCTGCCAGGCTTCTCTAGGGAAGAGAGCAAGGACCCACGGGTGGGCTGGGACCCACGGCTCGGTGGGACCGTGCCAGACTGCCCTGAATAACGTCTGCAGGCTCTTGCATCGGCTGGCCTGTGTGTGGGGCTGGGGCAGAGCTGCTGCCTCCTCCACCAGGGTTATCGCAACCTGCGTGGGGCTGATGCCATCTGATGGGCAGAGCACACACGGGCAGAGGGTTTGCTGTGGAACCTGAGTTCCCATGCTGCAGGGAGGATTTAGAAGCCTGGTAGTCTTTGGGATAAGACTTACTTGTTTTTCTGAAAATACCAGATATGATGTGGGTCAAAGCAAATTGCTATCTCTTGGGGGAAAATCTATTTTCATATAAAGGAGCAACTCCAGAAAAAGCATTTCTGGAGACCTCGTGCCCTGGATGTCTCTGTGTGTGTGTAGAGCAGGGAATGGGATGAAGAGGTGGTGGAGGAGAAGGGATTACAATTAAAGCTGCCAAACAAAGCTTCCCTAACTGTGTGGTGTTTTTAATAAGCAGATACGTGGCTCACAAAATGAGTGCAGGTTGCCACTAAGCTGCTTTGGATATTGCTCAGTAGCTAAAAAATGGTACTTTTGCATCTTTGCTGCTAATGGTAAGCTAGCCATCACCTTTCCCTGAAATGTGGGGGCTCTTTGTCACAGTCAGGCTAGATTAAAACAAAGCCAGGTGTAAAATATGTTACCTGAGAGTTTTGCAGCTGCTGTTCTGTTTGGAGTTTGTCCTCCAGCATCTTCTGAAGAGCCTCTTTTGCCTTCTGCTCATAGGTCTGCTTCTGGTCCTCCATCTCTATCAGGATCTTCTTCACACACTCCTTTGAGTAACTCTTTAAAGGAAGAATTCAAGTGTTTGACATATTCCTAATCTTGCTAAGCCTGAATATTAGCAAATCCAGAGTGTGTAAATGCTAATGCTCATTTGCTGTGAAGCATTGCTTGGGCAAAGAGGAAAAAATGTTTTCAGATCTGTATCTAATCACATCGCTCTAGAAACTGAGACCCGGCCTAATTACATGGTTCTGTATTTTGTTTTCTTGCCTTTCTTCACCCATGTTTGTTTCTCAGTGAATCAGACATTACCTGGGTGCAGGCCTGCAGCTGATTTTCAAGTGCCCTTAGTTTACACTTCAGTTTATCTTCATTCAGCTGACCCTGGGGGAAAAAAACAATTGAATGGATGTGTGGAATCATGAACTAGGCAAGATGCCCCCAATGTTTTGTTAGTTTGTCTTTTGATTCACTTTCTACCTTCATCTATAGTATTGTGGCTAAATTTGGTCAAAGTCTCTCCAACACTTAGAGTTCAAATAATCTTTCACGATCTCAGAATAAATGGGATATGGGGAGAGTAAAACTTTTATGCATTGAAAACTCTCCTGAGGCAGTTCCACTGGTTACTGAGTGCAGAGCAAGGGGATTTCAGGTTAGTCTGGATGGGTCTGGCAGAAGCCTAGCTGCTGCCTGTCCCTGCGTACAGCCCTGTTCCCTGGCTGGTGGTTCCTCCCTGCAATGCTCCTTGCTTAAAGCTCCAGCTGGTGCTAAGGTCTCGTCTTGCTGGTTCCCTTAGGAAATAGGTTGGGTCTGCATTGCAACATCTAGCAGTTGGGCAGGGGGATAGAGGGCAGCACTGATGATTCATTTTCCTTATTATAATCTCCTCTCAGTCTTAGTCAGGCTTCTTGGGTTTTGTGAAACCAGACTGCATGCAAATTCAGATAAAATTTCTAGCAAAGAGTTTACGTAGGCTGTTTTTCCACCACTGATGCTGAGGACTCCGGTATCCTCTCTGCTTACTGCTGTTTGAAGTCAAGCCTCTGAAAAGCAGCTCCTCGATGTTACAGGAATAGCTGTTAGACCCAAGCAAAACCAGATTCTCTGATGTCTTAGCACTGTTAAAATTTGTACAAGTAAGAAGTAAGTTTACAGTCCCAAAGACTAAATCTTCTCAGTTCGTTGTTGGTATGAAGAACTAAAGGCTCTATCCTCTTAGAAAGCAGGTGGAATTTTGAAAAGCATTTTTATATGTGAAACATTATGCCTAGTTTTCCTCCGCAGTTGATTTTGTTCTGCTATCTGCAGAGGTTCCCGTTGGAGGGTGGTGGTGCGACCGCCGTTGTGCACAGATGTAAATGACTGTGCAAAGTACAAGGCAATAGAGTGCTGGGCCCTTCCTACGCTTCAGAGCAGAAATGAGCTGGCAAACTCCTTTCATGGAGATGCAGCTTATAAATTGGCAAAAGAACATAAGAGTATGAAGATTTCCCTAAATGGAATAAGCTGTCTGTCAGGGCTGTTACCAGAACAGCATGGCAGTGAGGGGTGAGTGAGTATGTGCACATATGTGGGAGGGCATAAGAAATTATGCTTTTGACCAGAAAAGTTATGTGAGCAAATCTTGGTCAAGCCCTTGTGTTGAAGATTATCTACATGAAAGGGGCTGTTTAAAAAAACCCAAAAACCAACAACAAAAAACCCCCCAAAACAACACCCCAAACCCAACCAAACAAAACCTGACCCACAACTAAACAAAACAGCAGCACCCCCCCCCCCCCGCCCGTAGCCACCACGGTCAGACAGTGGTGGTTTCCTCTCATCTGCAGTGTCTCCGGTGTCACTGTTTGAACACGACCTGGGGATCCTTGTGCTGCACCTTGCTAGAGAGCCCAAAGACACCTACTTGAAGCCAGGCAGAGGAAAGGATTAGGGCTAACATGCTCAAAATACGCCCACTCTTGCAAATACCAGATTTGAGTCCTCTGTAGCCCTCTTCAGAGAGTCTGAGGTTACCTGAATGGGCAGCTCCAAGACTTCTCTTAAACTCTTCTGCATTTCCCTACTGCTGTCATTTAAGTGCCATATAAGTATTTTAAACTGGTTTTGGCTGACAGCTGTAGTGTTGTGGATGTCCTGTGATCGGTGAATTCTCTGATACTCCTTCCCTTAGTCATTTTAAACAGCTGGCTTAAAGCAATAATAGTAAATGCTCTTTCTGGAAGGCTTCCAGTTTGCCCAAATGTGATGCTTGTGCTAGAAACTAAGTCCACATAGTAGTAGTATTACACTGGAAATGACAAAGAGCTTAAGATCTGCAGAGCTGCAAGGTACTTCCAAAAGCCAGGCTCAACTTCAGAGGTCAGGAAGGGAAGAAAATATATTAAAGTAGCAATTTTCTTCTTTAAGAAGAGAACAGCTCAAAATTAATTACCCTTAATAATCATAACTGAGACTTACTTAGCTTCCTTCATCTGGCAGCATTTCTGAATCAGCTAAGCAAGTTTTACAACAGGTGGAAGATTTAAGGTACGGACCTGTGGTTGGAAGGGGTCTCTAACCTAGAGGTAAAATCGTGGGAGGGGGAAGGAACAAAATGCTTTATCCCTTAAGTTTAATGACATCCCCATAGTCCTGCAGAGCATTCACTTGCTCCATCAAGCCAGAAGCACCCAGAAACACAAGCAGCACCTCAAAAATGACTCTATGGCTGTTTCAATAGCATTTCTCTGAAACCCAAAGTATTAGAAAGGATTAAAAAGCTGCTGCAATAAGCATTTGGTATCTCACCTGAGCCTGGAAATGGGCAACCAACCAACCATCAGTTTCCATGGCACAGTGTTATGGTATAGGACCTCTCCATCCCTGCCTTTGCCTGCACCTCCCAGAGAAGCCCCTTGCTCCCATCCTGCCTCCCTCCGCGCAGCTCCCGGGGATCCCCCCTGGCACGCGGCATCTGCCTTGTTTGCTCCGTGGGGTCCAGTGCCAGCGGCGAGTTACTTTTTAGTCTGATGAAAGGCTGAATGCAAGAGGCAGCAGCAAAGGCTCTCTTCTGTAGCAGAGACAGCAAGAAGCAAAGAGCACCCACCTGTATCTAATCTGAGGTCTCATGGCTACTTCCTGCAGAGTGTGTCAGGGTGTTTTTTCCTGCTCATATTATTTGAAGAAGCAAGTGAAGGCGGAAGTTTCTAACCACAGAACATCTATCACAAGGGTTTTTTATACCATCTCACCCACTCACTCGCTTTTCTGTCCCAACAGAACTTTTAAACCACTTTTTTTAATGGCACAATGAACTGTAAATTAATATTTGATTTAATGACCCTATATAAAACACTTCATATGCTGCATAAAATGCATCACCTTAATTTTACCTCCTGATAGCAAAACTGAATGGGTCCTGGTTTGGTGCTGCCCAGAGGATTTTGTTTGAGCTGTGGGGAAATAGTTTGATGCAGGGCCACAATTCAGCTGTGCACCTAAGGCTAAGCAGGTGTGCCAGAGCATCATGGTATTGGGTCCTGCGACCTGCGTTTGGGGCCCAGAATACGTCCCCAAAAGGAACTGGGGCAATGGTGTGTTTGGAGGATGTCCCCGCAGATCCCAGCAACGAGCAGACTGGGCGGCCGGGAGCTCGGCAGGAGGGCTGCGTGGGCTGGGTGGGGGTTTTTAGCTGTTGTGTTCTCAGGTCAAGAAACAGCCTGTCTTGCCTCCATCCAACACGGTGTTTGCCAGCGCTTGGGTGCACCAGTTGGGTGCATCTAAAATTTTTATTTTGGTCAAAAAAAAAAAAAAAGGTTCAAAATATTTGAAACTTGTTTTGACTAGGGAAGAAAACTTGGTGCAAGGTGGTTATATGGGTTTATTCCAATTCTTTTCCCCACTTATACACTTCTGTTTGACTTTTATTTAAGGAAAAGTGGGAAAGGCAAGTATAAAAAAAATAAAAAACAAAACCTAAAAGCTTACAGAAGAAAACGGTTTTAAGCTTCCAGTTGATCTGAAAGCAAAGTACGTTTTGTAACAATCCTTTGGGGCACAAAAGGGAAAAACTTCAAGCGAAGTGACTCCCTAACTTCTGCGTTTGTGTTCAGCCCTCCCTAAAAAGAAAGGTGACAGCAAGGAAAGAGGCAGGGCAAGCAGCTACTTGCAGGCGAACGGTTCTGCACAGTGCCTTGTCTGCTGGGTGAACAGCATTGCATTTTAAACCTGTAACATCAGCACCGAAGCCAGGCAGAGCTAGAGCTTGGCTCCGAGAACGAAAGGGAGACCCATGGGTGGCTCTTGCTTGTGCACACAAGCCCCGTCCCACCGAGGCAAAACCCCCCCCCAGCCCCAGCAAGAATCACCTCCCGAGCTCTCTGGTACCTGCCAGGATTTTTCTGACGCTTGCAGCAGCGTGGAGAAAAGCTCCTGCAAAATCACCATCTTCTGCTTGAGCAGCAGCTCGCGGTGCAGGGCCTCCTGCGAGGAAGGGGAGAGCTGGTCAGAGGGGACCCCCGGAGCTGGCGGGGACGACAGCCGGGGTCCCCCCTCCAGTGCGGGGTCAGGGCTTCTGCCTCGCGGGGGGGGTCAGGCAGGTCTTTGAGTTCAGTGGCTTATCTGTAGGCTTTTTTGGCCACATTAAAATTGGGCATGTAACGCCCCTTCATTTAATAATAATAATAATAATAATTTAAAAAGTATTGTTGTACTTGCTGAAGACCTACTTTCCCAGTGGGTACTTAACATCTGGTACCTACCTTGAGGTAGTTGGACAACTGCACTATTTCCTGAAAGGGAAAAGGCAAATGTTTAAAAACAATAGGATTGTTTCAGTTTATAAACATTTTATGAACTGGCTACAAAATCCAAATATTTTGAAATAAAACTGAAGTTAACAGCCTATGTCTGGGTGGAGGATGAGTGCCTGCTGGGGTTCGTTTGTTTGGTTTTTCCAGGGAAGCGAAAATATTTTCTGCAGCAACTTACATCATTGGAGTTATGGTATCTTTGCCACGTAGTGTATCAAATCAGGGCAGTTACTGAATGAGAACAGTAGATATCCACGGGACAGAAGTGCCTTTCTCCCCTATAGCAGCAGTGTCATCATTTTTGAAACTATAGAAATTTAGCACCAGTCAGTGTCCTGGTCAGAAATTTTAGAAACTGATTGTGTTTGCAGGAGTTCAAGGCTAGTTATTATCTGCGTTTTGCTTACCTTATTTAAAACTGCTATTCCACAACTAAAATAAAAAAGAAAGTGTGTTACTGAGGTGAGGGTGATGTGGGGGTTGCGTTTGGGCTTGGACATCAGAGGCTGCTGCCCTGCAGGTATCTGAATTCAGAACCCGGGGAGGGAGGGGAGGACCGGCTTACTCTGTCTGCTGGCTTGAGTCTCTCACTCCTGCACTGGGATGTGTAAGGGTCTGGGTTCCTGTGAAAGCAAAGCGAAAGGCTGTGAATGATCCCCCCATCCGAGGGGCCGTGAAGTTCTTCTCTTTGGGTGTCCATCTCTGCTCGCAGGGTGGCATTGCTTCTAGGACGGAGCGCAGTTGTTTAAACAGCATCCAGTAACACAACTCAATAGGGACCAGACGCAAAGAAGAGTCCTACTCTGATGGACGGAGAAGTAGAAGTTAAGTAATCCCGCAGACTGAAGTTGGCCCCCAGACCCCCGGATGATCTGGGACACTTACAGCGAAGTTGTTAAGCTGTGGGCTGGGCTGGTTTATCCCTCCACAGGAAAAATATTTTTAACACCTCCAGTCTGCAGAGGAAACTCGGACTGGGATGGTAAAACCTTGTGCAGGTGTGGGGCTGCTGGCAGGGAAGCTCGGGCTGGGGGGAGCTACTGGCTCGTGTCCCAAACCACTCGATGGAGATTAGAGGTGGGAGGGAAATCCCGAGCATCCCTCGCCTCCCTTGGGTGTTCACGGAGGCACCTCGCCTGGGGATGGCTCCTGCCGAAACGCCGAGGGGGACGCTGAGGCCGAGCAGGGAGCGTGCAGGGGGAAACGTGGGGCAGCTCCACGGGTGCTGGAACGAGAGGGCAGCCCAAAATGGGCTGTGAGGAATGGAGGGGAAGGGGCTGTGGCCGTGTCAGGCTTTGTACCTGCGGTGACTGTGGGTGAAAAGCATCAAGGAGACACCAAGAAACCATGGCAAATCCACAAGGATTTGCTGTTTTGGCTGCAGCAGCTCCAGAGGTCAGTGGGGAAGTGGGAGAAAACCTGCTGGCTTCTTGAGGGGGATACAAGAACAGGACAAAGAACTCCCCCCCCCAGAGCATCTTGAGATATTTTTTGAAAAGGTGAGGACTTTGGTGGCAGGGAGCTGGGTCCTGGCTTGGGTCTCTGCTGCCATTTGGCTGCCTTGGAGCAGAGGTACCTGTTCTGCCCTGGCTTCCCCCCAGGGCTGGGGAAGCGGAGTGCTCACCCCATTGCCCCACTGCCTGCCCCCTCTCCCCCCCCCCAAGCCTCCTGCCCCTTGTTACCTCTGCAAAAGCAAACAGGGGAAGGCACCCTGCATGGGCCATGTGCATGTAAATGCTTGTTCCAGATTCCTGCTGTCTAGCAGGTGATTAAACCTGGTGAGGTAGGTAATTGCACGCTCTTGTGCTGCAAAGGGAGCTGGAGGGTGTGCCTGTGTAAGTCATCTCGTGTTTGACTGTCTCTGCTCACGCAGGTTTGTGAAGCCCCTAGGATGAATTCACAACGTACCAGTGGAATTGTTCATTTTGCATGCGATGTTAAGTTTTAGAAGGAAATCTGCTGGGCACTCAGACTGGGGTGTGTTGCATTGCATCTTTCTATGGATGTTATTCAAGGCAGTGAGCTCTCTGGGTTACTGTTAGTGGGGCAGCACAGGGTAGGTAGTAATGAGTACCAGGGAGCCTCCTAATTCCTGCACCCTTCCTGCTAACAGCAAACGTGATGGAGGGAAGCCAGGTGTCTAGAGCTCAGTTTTCAAGGGTAAAAATAATTTGTGTAAGTGCAAAACTGTAATCTGGCAGCTAGGATGTGGGGTTGTGCTTGGGGGAATGGCTGAAAATCTCTGTCCGGTTCAGGGTTGGCAAAACAGGAGACGAGCACGCCGGGAGGGAGGGGACAGCATTTACCCGTGCCCGACTCTGCAGTTTGTAAGGAAATGCACGCTTTTGTCCGTGCGTTCTCACTTTTGGGCTGTGCTTTGATTTGGGTCCCGATCAGTGGACAGGCTGGGGATGCTTCATTGGGTGCTAGCTGGAGCAGGCAGAGCACTGAGCCGCGCTCCGGGGGCAGGCGTTACCTGGAGCAGGGCGAGTGGGCTCGCCTCCACCCGTGAGGAGGGCTCCGGGGGGACGCGTGCTTCGGGATCCTGTCCCGGCAGCGTCCTTCCAGCATCGCTTGCCAAGTTTCTCCTCCTCAGGAACAGCCTTTGCCGGGGGCTCTGCTGCGGCTGCTCCGCTCCCCTCCCGAGGTGGCGGCAGGTCGTCACGTTGTTTCGGTGCCGGAGGTTCTCCCGCGTCTCGTGCCGCCGCTCGCACTTCTCGTCGTAGCTCTCGCTCGCGCGCCCGTGCCGCGGCCGTGCCTTCTCGGGCTGGCTGATCATCTTGGGCACAGCTCTGCCGGTCTGCGGCAGCCCCGTCCGCTCTGGGGTCCTCTGTCCTGATGACACCAAGGGAAAAGGCACGATTTGAGTGAAAACTTATTATTTCTAGGATTAAAGGAATGTGAGGTATTGGACGCTGATTCTGGAGTCCTTGCGCAATGGATGGAAGTGGTGTTCCTAGGGAAATCTGTTGTCCATGAGCACCATGCTGTTCTTGCTCCTCCATCGGGTGGGTGCTGACCTGGGGGATGCCGGGAACAGAATTTCAAACAATTAACGCAACCTCATGAAGCTATCCTCACTACCAAGTAATGATGCTTCCACTGCTTCCTCTGGGAGAATTCCTTTCCTGATAAAATAAAATCCCTCTTATTCAAACCGATTCTTTTGTGTGTGCTGTTACAGCCCTTTAGCCAACCTAAAGAAAACAATGAAAACACAGGAAGAGCAATAGCTGCTCTTTCTGCAGTAAACATCTTTTGAGTGTGTGTTTCTTTTGCCAGTTGCTTTTTTGATAGGGCCAAATATAGTGGTGCTGTGGTGTGACTTACTCTCCAAGCAGTTGCATTGTGTTTCTTAGTGTTGGCTGCCTTTTCTGTGTGCGCAGAGGGATCCGGAGCACGAAAAACCTTGCAGTGTTGTAGGGGGTTGGTTGGGGTTTTTTGGGGGTGTGTGGGGGGTTTTTTTGGTGGTTTTTTTTTTTTCAATGGAGTGTCTGGCAGGTCTGAGCACACCCACTCTCTGAAGCCCACGGCTGCGGAGTGCTGCTTTCTCTTACCTCCTGGTTGCTCCCTCCCTCCCCAGCTCCTGGTTCGGATGCTGTGTAACGCTTTGCCCTCTGCTTGTTGACCTTCGCTTCTCCCCGCACAGCCTCGCTGGCTGCAGCCCCGGGTCTGCCTGTTAGCCAAGCTGTGCCTTGGTTCCTTCATGGCAAATACAAGCGTAGTGACCGACTGTTACACTTTGGGGTTAATTCATTGTTCAGCTCTGGTCAAGAACTGGGCTCACAGGCTCTCAATGGTACCAGTTTGCCTCAGGCACAAATTCTGCCTCCATTTCTGGGGACTTTGTGGCCCAAACAAGGCAGTGGCCTCGCCGAAGGGGTTGCTCCTCCATTTTGGCACTATTGCACCGTCTCTACATGCGCACACAGGCTGTAGATATGAAACCTCCTCCCTCTCTGCTGACTTCTCCGCACAGTTGCAAGCCACCGGTGCAATGTTTTTTACTGGACTTTGGTCGTATCGGGTGTATTTGGGCCTTTGCCTCTGCAGCGGTTACAAGAGAAAGCTGAGCAATGACTACCCACAACTGCTCTTCTTCCTTCCTGCCCTCGAGCGAAGGCTGTGTCCCCCTCCTGTCCCCTCGCCCCATCGGCAGTGAAAAGGCTCGTGCACAGCCCACGAACTTGTTTGGAGGGTGCCCAGCCCTGGGGGGCTCAGCCTGGGAGCTGCTGTGGCCATGTCTGGTGTGGGGCTTTTCTCATTTTTATTAAATCATGTTACTGTAGGAAGGAGGCGGGGGGGAGAATTTTAGTGTCTGAAAGTTCAAGTTAAATGTTATTCACTGTTAAACCACCAAAACTTCATTGGTCTCATTCTGTCTCAAGCAATTAGGAAGTTGTTGAGTCTAAATGGAAAAAAAAATGGGAACAAGGAAGCCCCATTTACACATGTAATACTTCCGTGCTTTTTAGTCTGCATTAAAATCTGCTCAATAATTCCTTTTATTGTCCTTGTGCTAGCTGTGGTGTACTCAAAGCTCATTACTAGTGCTGTCTTTTCACTGTAGATCCTTCCTTTGGAAGGAGAGCGGTGCTTCTGAGGCGGTCAGCTCTTGCTCTGGGCAGGGAAGGTGCCTGCAAACCCACAGCCAGGACACTGCTCCCAGTGCCGAGCCCGCGTGGGACGGGGGCTTCGAAAGCCCTGAAGTATGGCACTTGCTTGTGCGCTTTTATTAATTTTTATTGCAATAGTCTCTCCTTTGAATAGCTTCTGAAGTGTCTGTAATTTTAGCTTAAATTTACTGAAGGATCCCAACAGTATTTGACTATTCAGGTGTTTCTTATTGTGACACACAGCTGGAGGAGTCTGGGGGTATAAAAGGCCGAGCCGGTTATTCCCTTGCAGCTTTCACGTCCGTACCATAACAACCCCACTGTGCTCACCCCGGGCCTTTCCTCTTGGTGCACACCTGCTTTCCTTGGACCAGGAGGCAAGGCAAGGTCTGGCCAACAGCTTCACACCGAGAAATGCAAGTTGGGTGTACGCCGACACCCCGCAATGTGCTGCCTTGAAGCTGGGTGCAAACTCCGTAGCTTGGGACAAAGTGAGTAGCTACAGCCAAACTTCTCCGAACTCTTCAGGACAATTTAAAAGCCTTTTCTAGCTAATTTTGCTTAATTTTAGAAATGGCCCAATTGCACATTCAGTACAGACCTGGGATGTCCTGCAAGGTCCCAGCCCTTCCCGTCAGGAATAGCTCAGCCCCTCTCTCACCTGCACCTGGGCTGCCCAGCCTGTCACAGTGCATCCCAAGAGCAGCTCTTGTAACAGCCTCAGTTAACCAAAAATGTGCTTTAAAGCAAGGTAAAGCTTAAACAAATACACAGTCCATTACTCACCCCAAGCTGAGCAAAGTGTTGAGGCCTTCTTGACAAGCTAATACTCTATTTCCTTTCCGTTACCCCAAATTACCCTCTCTAATTAACAAACATGTCCTTTCTCTTTGCTTTCCAAGCTGTTATACTTCTCGCTTCAAGGGAAACCAAAAAAAAAAAAAAAGTCTTCTTGCTGGTTCATGTTACAGCCTCCCAGTGTCAATCATGTAGGCTGAAAACCGGGTGAAAAAAGAGGAAAAAAGGTGCACACCGCTGCCTTTAGCATGGCAGCCTCCGCTCCCCTCCATCCCTCGCCGGCCCCAGCGCTGCGGGCACTTACCTGGCCCGAGGGGTCCCGTCCTACCCCTCGACCGCTGCGGAGGAGCGGGGTGAGCGGGGGCTTATCGGGCGCGAACACGCTCCAACTGCCATCTTTGTGCCAACCACTTCATTTTGCTGCTCTTACTCTTTTTCTCGCTCTGTAAAACAGGAAATGTTGCAGCCGCAGCCGAGCCCCGGTTCCTGTCTCTGCTCGCAGCCTGGCTCGCGGGGGGGATTTAGGTTATCTTGGGCCCCCAAAGTCTCCAGCTTCTCTCTAAGCAGAACTAGCAATTATCTTTTGGGCCATCTCCCTTTATCGGTCTCGGACACACGGAGGTTGAGTGCTGGTTCACGGAGCTGGCTGTGGCACTCTGTGACCGAGTCTCCCTGAGCTGCTTTGGGGTAGAGAAATCCAGACTTAGGGAAGTACAGTAATGCTATTATTTTAAGGCTTCTTGCAGATTGGAAAGGAAAAAAAGTGTGTATGGGCAGCAGAGGAGAGGTCACGAATGGCAGAAATTCATTAAGGTCTTTAGAGAAGTGAAAGCTGCGTTAATGCAAATCATGGAGGGAGTTCGGTTTAACCATCTGGGTGCTGATAAGGGCTCTGTGCCTATGCACGTGGAGAAGGAACACAAGTAAAAGCAGAGATCCCGTAAAGTAGCATAGGATTTATTTTTTACAAAGACCAGCCTAGAAGAGATACATGACAAAAAAATTTCCTGGTTCAAAGACCCTCTTGTGGCTGTGGGTGGTTTGTGCTGCTTGGCCAAAATCCTCATTCTGGGCCATGGCATGGCTTGCTGCCTGCCGTGCTCAGCACCGCTGCCTTCGTGGCTTTCAGTGGGGGAACAGTTTCTGGAGGTTGAGCAGAAAACCTGCTGGGGAGCTGGAGACTGGCAGCAGATCCTGCTGCCAGGAGCCTCTCTGAAGTGCTTCTTGGTCAGAAAAAGCCAGCTGCAAGAGTTCATTGCTAAAAAGGAGATTTTCATGCTGTGTGTTACAGGCTTCTGGTGCATCCTGTCTCAGGCTGCCAGCGTGCATCAGCATGGGGCTGCCCCGGTGGCATGGAAAAGGGCACCCGAGTAGCCGGATTAACACCCAAATGCCTCGTGCCTGGCCCAAAGCGTGCTGGTGCGCTCACCGCCCCAGGGACTATGTTCTTCTGATGTTTTCCACCTTATAGTTGCTCCTGATGAGGGAGTCGAGGAAGTCGGGGGCTATGTCCCGGAGGAGGAGCAGGCTGCCCACCTCCCGGGATGGGTAGTGCAGCTCCCGCCGGCGCAGCACCCCGCTCCTGATGATCTCCAGTGCGCACTCCTCCTTCGGGGCTGGTGTGTCCTGGATGGCGTGTGAGACTGCTCGCATGGCGTTCTCTGGAGGGACGGGACACCAGGGAGGGAAGGAGCAGTGTCGGATGGAGGGGCTGCCACAGGCACCACTGGCTCAGTCAGGGTGTCTGTAGCTTCCTCTAACAAACTGACAAACTCTGGGGATCCCTACTTAACGAGGCTTAGAATAGTTCAAACAAACAATTACAGTGATGTCCTTCCCATTCCTTTCCACCTCTGGAGTGACCATAGGATGGAATCCCCACCTCCCCTGGGTTTACTGCAAGGATAGCAGAGTCAAAGGTCTCGGGCCACACTTTTTAAAGAGTTGGGGTTCTGTTTCCACAGCTGCACTGCCACTGCAGGCTGAGGGACCAGCAGCGGTGCTGAAGCAGCATGCTGAGCAGCCGGGGGCCGGAGGGCGGGTGGTGGGCTCAGCTTGGCCCTGGCTGGAAGCGCGCTGAGTCGTGGGCACCCAGTGACGCTGAGCTTACCTGTATTGATGTAGCCCAGAATGCAGAGTGTGATGGAGACGTTGACCTTGTCTATGATGAATTCCTGTCGCAAGGAGCTGAAAAATCCATCTAAGGCGAACTTAGTTGCTGAATAGGGAGCACTAAATGGGGCGGCAGTTTTACCTGGAGCAGAGAGACAATGTCAGGGTTTGGGTACCGGATAGACATCAGCCTGCATGGCTCTCCCTTCCTCTTGCCCTTCAGGTAGCTACAGTATTGTGATCTAGGGTGATGGGGTAAGCTGTCATGAATGCTTAAGAGAAATAAACGAATGCAGGAATGTTTAAAATGTAACATATGGCATACGATGGCATGAAGTGCCTTCAGTTGTGGGTGATACTGTTCTTGTACTCCTGCATATACACCCATGTATAGCAAATGCATATGTAATATGTGGCCACGCACCTAAAATAACCTGCAGTGGTGTACCATCAACTGCAATGCATGAAGGTGATTAGTGGGTGCAAAGAGACTAGCAGGACAAGGCATAGAATATAAATCCCCCAGAGGACTTGAATTGTGCATCCAGGATATAAACCATACGCTGATCCTGACTCCCAGCGGGATGGCTCTCTGCCTTATGGTCCTTATTCTGTCTTTTGAAGAAGAGCCGCAGCAGGGATCCCTTGCAGGCAGAGGAAGGGACGTGGGCAGGGAGAGCCTGGCCCCTTCTGTGCTCACCTGCTACAGATGAAACGACGACGATGCTGCCCTCGCTCTCCTTCAGCATGGGCAGGGCAGACACGGTCATCGCCACGTAGCTGAGGAAGTTGGTCTCGAGGAGCTTTCGTATGTGCCCAACGTCCCCGTTGAAGTAGTTGAAGTAGCTGTAACCAATGTGATTTAGGATGAGCACATCGAGGCCTCCTGGAAGCAGAGCATGTTTGCTATTGGCAACAGGCACCTCAAAACAAAGCAGCTTCTTGGTGGCTGGGATGGCCCCAAAATGTAGCGCGGGGTGTGTTGGGGAGTGAGGAGGAGCAGCTCCCCACCACCTACCCCAGGTGTTCTCAGCCTCCTTCACCACCACCTCGGGGAACGTGGTGTCCTCCATGGAGCCACTCACGTAGTGGGCGGATGCGGCACCCAGCTCGAGGCACCGCTTCACAACCTGCAGTGACAGCGAGAGCAATGTTGGCGATGGACCCCCCCCCCCCCCCGTTCCACAAAGGCTGTTGCTGTCTTGGGGTGGATGGGCAGCGCATCTCCCTGTCCTGCTGGAAACCCTTCTCCCTTCATGGGAGGAGACATGTTGCTCAGAGAAACGTTTCTGGCTGCAGAGTCAAACAACAGCACATCTGAGCCAAATATTTAGTATTTATAAATATTGCATATGACCGCTTAATTTTGATTCTGTTGTATGCAGAATGCAAAACCAGCTCGGACTTTGAGAAAGGGCAAGGGCTGATCAGACCAGGACTTGGGCAGACTGGTGTTGTCCTTGGTGGTGGAGATCAGAATTCACAGCTGAAGACTGCAGAGACAGAAGTGCCATGCTGCCAGCACTGGAAACACAATTTGTTGTGGTGGAGGATGTGTGTTAGCACAAGCTCGTACTGGGGAAATGCTGGGGTGGACCTGTAGGGTATCTGGCAGCCCCATGTGCCCGGGCTGGGGTGAGTATCTGCAGACTGCCCGCCTGTGGGGTTCAGGATTGTAAATGTGTTTGGCTGACCCGGTGTGCTTTGCTTGCCATTTACTTTCTGCAGCTTGGCCTCCGTCCGCGCCGTGAGCAGGAGGTGGGCCTCCATGCGTGCCAGGTGATATGCCATCTGCTCCCCGATGCCGCTGCTGGCTCCCGTCACGATCACTCGCTTCCCCCGGAGCATCTCTGCAGAGAAGGGCATGGGGCTCAGAGCCGGCACAGCCCACACCGTCCCCCCGTGTGTGCTGGCATTGGGGCTCCTCTGCCCCCGCCACCCCTCGCCTTCGGGTGCTGGGAGCTGCAGCCCCCGGTCGTTAGTCCCGGTTCGGTGGGGAGCACGTGCGAGGCTTGAGCTCTGCCTCCAGCCTGGACTGGGAGTGGCTTTTGGAAGCAATGAGAGTTGACTAATGAAAGGATTAAATGTTTAAAGTGGAAGACTGCATGTTTCCTAAATAAATAATTTACTGAGATCGGACACTTACCGTGCATCCCAGCAGACCCAGGATAATCCCATGAGCTTTCCTGTGCGGCGCAGAGTGCTCTGACCCCTCACACCGGGGGCTGCCTCTGCTCTCCTCCGAGCCCTCAGCCCTTCCCACGCTTTGGCTTTTCCAGCTGTGCTTTGAAAAGCCCTTCAACTGGCCCGTGTTCTTCTGCGTGGGCACATACTGCCGCTCTGGCAGCAGCCTTCCTGATTGTGGGTTTAAAGCGTGTTTTTTCCAATTACTTACCTTCATTGAAATTCTCAGGTGCTGAATAAAAATAAAAGGCCAGTGCCAGTCCCAGCAAGGGGATGAAAATCTTCAGGAGCAGACCCATCCCTCTGCAAAAGTACAGGCAGGAGAGAGAGAAACCCCGTGGCTCTGACTGTGGGAAGGTGGATGTGCCAGTAGGTTGCAAACAGGGCTGGGAGCAATAGCAGTTTTGAACTGATTCTTGTCTTGCGTAAGTCTGCTGGTGTCTGTTGGACCTTTTCTTTTTGCTTCCTGTAATTTAGCAAACATTAACCTAATGGAAAGTGTCGCTTTGGACTTTAGGCTGTCCCTTTGCACCCTTGTCCTGCCACGAGTTTCAGGTGTGTTTTTGGAAAGCATTGAAGGAAAGGCACGGAAAAGCTTCTGGCTTCATAGAGCCGTGGGTGTGTTGTTCGGTGGCTGCCTTTGGGGCTGGGACACCCGTGTCCCCGCAGTGCAGACCTCCATGGGACGGGTATCCTTCTCTCTCTCTCCAGTCCACGTCTAAAACTGAGGCAACGCTTCCCTTCCTTGCTGGCTGCCACAAGGATTTATTAATCGGCAATGATGACTGTGATCCAGGTTCATAGGTATATCTAGAGAGAGCAGGGCTGGCAAAGTTTGTAGTTTTAGACTCTTATCGGTGCTTCTGGCTTATCCTACGTGATACCACCATTGGTGTAATACTGACAGTGTTGGGTGGCTCTTACACCTAAAAAAATTGCACTCTTTTCTTGAGGAATCGACTGATTGCAAAAGGCAGTAAAAGAGCCAAGCAGGTGAATAATAAAGATCTTCAGCTTTCACAAGTGTTGTGTGTCACACTGCTCAGCATCTGCGTGGGCATATGGCGAACGGATTTACAAATAATATTCTGAAAGAGAAAGTTTAAAGGGCAAAACCCGCTCTGCGTGCACTGGTTTGTGTAGGCGATCTTGGGATAAGGAGAACAGAAATGCTGCTTTCTGATTTCCCTTTGAAAGTGAGGAGCAAACCGCTCCTGGGGGGTGTTTCAGTGAGAAGAATTTGGGGAGGTTTTGCATTGCTTTGTCTCGGGACAGGTAACGGTTGGTGCTCAAATGGCCAGAACCAGGGTAGATGTAAATGTGTTGACTTGGGCACCGCTGCCAGGGTCAGGGAAGCGGTGCTGAGCTCGCTGCGGGCTTAGGCTTTGCATTCACCATGCGTCGCTCCTGGTGCCTGAGATCTCGGCTCAGGGTGGCGATGCAGCAGCTCTCTGCATCTAGAAGGCATTTCCCAGTTATAATGTTTGTGCGAGAAACAGTCTACCAAGTTTGGGGCGTTTTGCTTGGGGTAAAAACTTGCATTTAATTTGGCCGTTAGACTCGCAACAACCAAAAAAAAAGGCTAAAAGACAGTTATGCCTGAAATGAAATACTGAAGGATTACTGCAGGGATTCAACCTTCCTGCGAAAGGCGAGTCGGAGGAGCGGTGCCCGCCGGCAGCAGCGTTTAGTGGTGGACAAAGAGGGGACCCCCCCCCCAGAGAACACGCAAGGCTGTTAGGTTAGTAGACTTTATTCAATAATCAGTGTGTGCCGATCCCCCCGCGGCGGGGGAAGGGGGTGCCTCTAACCGGGCGGGATGCCGCAGCTGCAGGGGCGTCCCCTCCTGCCCCCGCCCCGCACCTCGCTGCCGGCCCCCCCGGCCAGAGGCGATGCCATCCACCCAGACCCCAACCCGCCAACTGGGCGAAGCGCAAGCAGAGATCGCCGCCCGGCACCCCCCGGCGCCCTGCGAGGCCGGTCCCCGCCGGCAGAGGAGGGGGTTGCACCGGCGAACCCGGCCGGCCGCCC